AATTTTGTCTCGTGTTTCTCGATTTTTACTGATTCTCATTTATTTTTTAACTCATTTTGACTTATTTCTAATTTTGTCTCGTGTTTCTCGATTTTTACTGATTCTCATTTATTTTAAACTCATTTTGACTTATTTTTTTAATTTTGTCTCGTGTTTCTCGATTTTTACTGATCTCATTTATTTTAACTCATTTTGACTTATTTTCTAATTTTGTCTCGTGTTTTCTCGATTTTTACTGATTCTCATTTATTTTAACTCATTTTGACTTTATTTCTAATTTTGTTCTCGTGTTTCTCGATTTTTACTGATTCTCATTTATTTTAACTCATTTTGACTATTTTTTTAATTTTGTCTCGTGTTTCTCCTCTTTTTTTACTGATTCTCATTTATTTTAACTCATTTTGACTTATTTTTAATTTTTGTCTCGTGTTTCTCGTTTACTGATTCTCATTTATTTTAACTCATTTTGACTTATTTCTAATTTTGTCTCGTGTTTCTCGATTTTTACTGATTCTCATTTATTTTAACTCATTTTGACTTATTCTAATTTGTCTCGTGTTTCTCGATTTTTACTGATTCTCATTTATTTTAACTCATTTTGATCTTATTTTCTAATTTTGTCTCGTGTTCTCGGATTTTTACTTTTTTATGTCTCAATTTTGACTTTATTTCTGATTTTGTCTCGTGTTTCTCGATTTTACTGATTTCTCATTATTTTAACTCATTTTGACTTTATTTCTATTTTGTCTCGTGTTTCTCGGATTCTCTTATTTTTCATTTTTAAACGTCTCATTTATTTTAACTCATTTTGACTTATTTCTAATTTTTTACTGATTCTCATTTATTTTAACTCATTTTGACTTATTTCTAATTTTGTCTCGTGTTTCTCAATTTTTTACTGATTCTCATTTATTTTAACTCATTTTGACTTATTTCTTTTTTTGTCTCGTGTTTCTCGATTTTTTACTGATTCTCATTATTTTAACTCATTTTGACTTATTTTCTAATTTTTCTCGTTTTCTCGATTTTTACTGATTCTCATTTATTTTAAACTCATTTTGACTTTTTTTTTAATTTTGTCTCGTGTTTCTCAATTTTTTACTGATTCTCATTTATTTTAACTCATTTTGACTTATTTCTGATTTTGTTTCGTGTTTCTCGATTTTTACTGATTCTCATTTATTTTAACTCATTTTGACTTATTTTTTTAATTTTGTCTCGTGTTTCTCGATTTTTACTGATTCTCATTTATTTTAACTCATTTTGACTTATTTCTGATTTTGTCTCGTGTTTCTCGTTTTTACTGATTCTCATTTATTTTAACTCATTTTGACTTATTTCTAATTTTGTCTCGTGTTTCTCGTTTTTACTGATTCTCATTTATTTTAACTCATTTTGACTTATTTCTGATTTTGTCTCGTGTTTCTCGATTTTTACTGATTCTCATTTATTTTAACTCATTTTGACTTATTTCTAATTTTGTCTCGTGTTTCTCGATTTTTACTGATTCTCATTTATTTTAACTCATTTTGACTTATTTCTAATTTTGTCTCGTGTTTCTCGATTTTTAACTGATTCTCATTTATTTTAACTCATTTTGACTTATTTCTAATTTTGTCTCGTGTTTCTCGATTTTTACTGATTCTCATTTATTTTAACTCATTTTGACTTATTTCTGATTTTGTCTCGTGTTTCTCGATTTTTACTGATTCTCATTTATTTTAACTCATTTTGACTTATTTCTAATTTTGTCTCGTGTTTCTCGATTTTTTACTGATTCTCATTTATTTTAACTCATTTTTGACTTATTTCTAATTTTGTCTCGTGTTTCTCGATTTTACTGATTCTCATTTTATTTTAACTCATTTTGACTTATTTCTAAATTGTCGTGTTTCTCGATTTTACTGATTCTCATTTATTTTTAACTCATTTTGACTTATTTCTTAATTTTTGTCTCGTGTTTCTCGATTTTTACTGATTCTCATTTATTTTAACTCATTTTGACTTATTTCTAATTTTGTCTCGTGTTTCTCAATTTTTTACTGATTCTTAATTTTTTTTTATTTGTTGACTCAGTTTGCTTGGTAATTACTGTTAATTGCACCGTGAATATGCATTAATTTCAGTGAATATTCATCATCTATCAATTTACTTCACTGAAAATCTATATAAACTGTTGACGGAATTTTTATTCTGCTTAATTACTGACTTAGCTGATTATTGGCCTTACTGACTAATTAATGACTATCTCCTAATTACTTTACTGCCTAATTACTGACTTAGGTGATTATTGGCCTTACTGACTAATTAATGACTATCTCCTAATTACTTTACTGCCTAATTACTGACTTAGCTGATTATTGGCCTTACTGCCTAATTAATGACTATCTCCTAATTACTTTACTGCCTAATTACTGACTTAGCTTCCTCGTTATTGACGTGTTTGACTAATTAATGGCCTTATGCCTTTTTACAACTTTACTGCCTCAATTTTTATCTCCAAATTGATTACTTCCTAATTAATGACCTTGCTGCTTTACCTCCTATTTAATGACTTACTGCCTATATAATTTCCTAATGAATGATTCTGTCCAATTAATCACGTTTATCCTCTTAATTAATGACTTTACTAATTAATGGCCTTAATGTCTAATTTCTGACTTTACTTACTAATTAATGACCTGGATGGCTAATTACTGACTTAACTGCTTAATAACTTTACCTCCTGGTTAATGACTTTACTGACTAATTAATTCTTAATGACTTTACTGACTTTAATGACTACTAGTCTCTTGATTATAACTGTTACTGAATATACCTTAATGACTATTAGATGGCCTTAATGACTATGATTATATCTTGCTGCCTATTAATATATCTCTATACTACAAATTAATGACTAATGACTAATTAATGCCTTAATGACTAATTATACTCTTAATTTGAGTAATGGGTTCTGACTATTAATGTACCTTAATACTAATGTGCCGACTATTAATTACCTTGTTGATCTAATTGTTGACTAATTATATGTTATCTTAATGATAATGTGACTAATTTAATGACCTTAGAACATTTTCTGACTCATAATTGTGGTTAATTATCTGAATTTTCAACTAAGAATGACCTTAATGACTACATGCTGACTAAGTAATGACCTTAATACTAATTCGACTAATTAATCACCTTAATAACCTGATTAATTCTATTCTTATTAATGACCTTAATGACCTTATTAAGGCCTTAATGATATATTTACTGACTAATTACACCTTAACGACTCATTACTGACCTTTATATCGACTCATTACTGACAGCGATCATTTTATACCCCCCCCCTTTTCCCCCCAGTACTTGGCCAAATCATTACACACGTTACGACACGTGCTCTCATATTATCTCTCCACATCCTGCCCTCCATACCCCGTTTCTTCGAGTGCGAGATATTGGCGCGACAGGAAGGAGTGGAGTGAAGTGGAAGGAGAGGTGGTGGATGGTTTTTAGGTAGGAGAAGGGGGAGGTTGTTGTGAGAAGGGGATGGTTAGGGAGAGTAAGTAGATGATGGGTAGGGAGTATGGATGAGGAGAGGAGAGAAGGGAGAAAGTAGGAGAGGGGAGAGTATGATTAGGGTAGGGAGAGATAGGTATTTGGAAAGGTGAGAGTGTGGGAGACAGTAGAGAAGGTTAGCGAGTTGAGAAGGGTGGAAAGTTTGAGACTGGGAAAAGGGTAGAAGGAAGGGAGTGGGAAAGCGGTAAGGAGAAGATGAGAAGTGGGAGGTATATATGTAGGAGATATATATATTATGGAGTTAGGAGGGGAAAGGGTAGGAGGAGATGGTAGGGAGGGTAGAGAGAAAGGATGATTAGAAAGAGAAAGAGGAAAGGTAGGATTTGGAGAAAGTTAGAGTAGGAGAAGGGAAGGAGAAGATAGGACTAGGGAGGAAGAAGAGAGAGAAGAGAGAATCATGCCAGTCATATAGCACAAAGCATTTCTCATATCTTGAGCCTGAGACCAATCCTAAATTCAGAGTTAAATCATAACGTATGTATATAATGTCAATGTTACTCACTAAAGGAGAATGATATAGAATTTAAACACATTTTTAGTCTGTTGAACTGTCAGAGTGCTTGCAAACCTTCGCTCATCGACGCAATTTCAGTCCAGATTTCTTCTGTTGTTCGTGAATGCCTAGCATTTCCACTGAAATTAGTCACACCCGGTTCACACAACCCCACAGGTGCTACTCAGTGTCATAATACCCAGTCTCTGTACTGTCTCTCTTCGTCTTCTCCTCTCCTCTGCTCTCTCTCACTCTCTATCTCTATTCTCTCTCTCTCTCTCTTCTCTTCGTCTCCTATCTATTATCTTATCTCTCTCTCTCTCTCTCTCTCTCTCTCTCTCTCTCTCTCTCTCTCTCTCTCTCTCTCTCTCTCTGTCTCACCTGTCTCTCTCTTCACCTCTCTCTCTCTCTCTCTCTCTCTCTCTCTCTCTCTCTCTCTCTCTCTCTCTCTCTCTCCTCTCTCTCCTCTCTCTGCTCTCTCTCTTTCTTCTCTTCTCTCTTTTCTCCTTCTTCTCTCTCTCTCTCTCTCTCTCTCTCTCTCTCCTCTCTCGTCTCTCTCTCTCTCTCTCTCTCTCTCTCTCTCTCTCTCTCTCTCTCTCTCTTCTGTGTGTGTGTTGTGTTGTGTTGTGTGGTGTGTGTGTGTGTGTGTGTGTGCGTCACTGTGCCCCTGTTTCCTTACCATGTACCGACTTAAACCCAGTACCAAGAAGTCCATTAACTCACTACCCATACACCCATAAAGGCCTCCCAACTTCCCCCCATTGCCGTCTCCCCCAGGTACAACCCACTCACCCTCCCCCGCCTGCCTCCCAGGTACACCCCCATCACTCCCCCAGTTACAACCCCCATTCACTCCCCCCCCCTGCGCTCTCCCCCAGGTACAACCCCATTCACCCCCCTCCCCCTGCTGCCTCCCCCAGGTACAAACCCCCACTCACCCCCTCCCCAGTAAACACCCCACTCACCCCCCCCGCCTGCTGTCTCCCCCAGGTACAACTCCCCCATCTCACTCCCCAGTACAACCCCCACTCACCCCTCCCCCACAGTAAACCCCACTCACCCCCCCCCCCCTTGCTGTCTCCCCCAGGTAACCAACCCCCCACTCACTCCCCCCAGGTCAACCCACTCCCCCCCCCCCCTTCGCTCTCTCCCCCAGGTACAACCCCCACTCACCCCCTCACCCCTCCCTGCGCTCTCCCCCACTCACCCCTCACCCAGCTATAAACCCCCACTCACCCCCCCTCCCCCCTGCGCTCTCCCCCAAGTACAACCCCCACTCACCCCCCCCCCTTGCGCTCTCCCCCAGGTACAACTCCCGCGGCTTCGACCTGAACCGCAACTTCCCCGACTACTTCAAGCAGAACAACAAGCGGTCGCAGCCAGAAGCAGAAGCGGTGAAGCAGTGGGTGTCCAAGATCCATTCGTGCTCTCGGCCAACCTGCACGCGGCGCCCTCGTGGCCTCGTACCCCTTCGACAACTCGCCCAACACCAGTGAGTTAACCGGGGCGCCGGTCCTTTTTTTTTTTTTTTTTTTTTTTTTTTATTTTTATTATTATTTTTTTTTTTTTTTTTTTTTTTTTTTTTTTTTTTTTTTTTTAGTTTGTGTATATTAAGTTCGTTTTTTAAGGGCGATGTTTGGTTTTTGTTTGTTTCTCCTTTTTCTCTATTCTTTTTTTTCTTTCTTTTTCTATTTTTTCTTTTTATTTATTTTCTTTGTATCCTTCGACAACTCGCCCAACACCAGTGAGTTCCAGGCCTTTTTGTTTTTTTTATTATTTATTTTTATTTTTTTTATTTTTTTCTATGTATTTATTTATTTATCTATTTTATCATTTCTTTATTATTTATTTATTTATTATTTTATTTTTATTCTTTCTATTTCATTTTTATTTATTTATTTTTATTTTATTTATTATTTTTTTTGTGTTGAGTTTATGTATATTAAGTTCGTTTTTAAAGGCGATGTTTGGTTTTTGCTTTGTTCCTCTTCCTTCTTTCTTTTTTTCTTTCTTTTTTCTTTTTTCTTTCTTTTTTTCTTCTTTCTTTGTATCCTTCGTCTCTCTTCTTTTTTTCTTTCTTTTTTTCTGTCTATTTTCTTTCTTCTTTTTATTTTATTTTTTATTTTCTTTGTTTATGTTATATTTAGTTCGTTTCTAAGGGTCGATTTTTTTCTAATTCATCATATTAAATTCGTTTTTAAGGGGCGATGATTAGTTGTTTTTTCTTCTTCTTCTTCTTCTTTCTTTCTTCTTTTCTTTTCTTTTCTTCGTATCCTTGGACAGTCGCCAACACCAGCTATTTTTTTTCTTTTCTTTTTCTTTCTTTCTTTCTTTCTTTCTTTCTTTCTTTCTTTCTTTCTTTCTTTCTTTCTTTCTTCTCTTCTTCTCTTTCTTCTTTTTTTTCTTTTAAGTTTATTGATTATCAATTTTGTTTTTTAAGGACGCTGTTTTTTTATCTCTTTCTTTCTTTTTTCTTATTTCTCCTTCTTTCTTCCCTTTGTTTTCTCGCCCAACACCAGTGAGTTATTATTAAATTTATTAATTAATTTATTTATTATTTTATTTTTTATTGAATTAACATTTTTATAAGTTTTTTTGATGGGCATTGTTAGTTTTATTATTTATTATTTTTATTTTTTATTTTATTATATATACTATTATTATTATTATTTTATTATATTTTATTCATTGTGAGTTCTTGAACCGCTGTTCAGTTTGTTCATTAAGGTTGCTTTTAGGGGGCGCTGTTGATTTTTTATATTTTTTATTTATTTTTTTTTTATTGTTGATTTATGTTCATTAGCTTGTTATTTTTACCTAATACATTTATTGATTTCATTTTAGTTTATTTACTTACCTTTTCTTTTATATATTATTTGATTTTCTTATCCACCAAGTTAGTTTTGAGTTCGTCTTTTTATTATTTTCATTTGGCTATCTATTTATCAATTTTTCTCTCTTTTCCTCTATCTCCTTTATCCATTTTATTTATTTGTTCATTTGCTTTATCAACTTATTCAGTTACTTATTTATTCATTTTTCTTTAAGAGGGATTTCCTTTGTCTTTTTTTTCTTTTTTTGTATTAGATAATTCAAAAATATTAGATTATATCTTTTTGGTAAAATTCCAGGATTATATACATTTTCCTGAGTACAAATTTAACTTCTTTGTGTTAGACATTTTTATTGAGTTTTTTTCCTTTCTCTTTTTCAAATTTAGTCAGAGTTAGATACTAATGAAGTTGTGATTTTAAATATATTCACATGTTATTTGTTTTTTGTTTTTTTGTTTTTTCATTTTTATGTTTATTTGAAATGACTGAGGGTATTAGTTATTGACTTTTTCCTGTCCTTGTTACTAAGATTATTAGGCACCAAATATTTGATATTATGATAAGTGTAGGATTGCTTTTTGTAGTATTTTCTTAAGATGAATATCATATCTTATTTGACACTATGAACATATATGAGGGTAATTGATACAGTGTAGGATTTCGCTCTTGCTAAATCATAAGACTTTATTAATAATGAATGTAAATTGATTTCTGCATTTTGAATGATTTTCTTTGTATTGTTCACATTTCTGAACCTGGAGAGATTTCTCATTCAGTCTGAACACCTGCAAGATTCTGGAAGATTTGATCAAAGAGATTCTTCCATAGGATTCCTCTCCCATGCACCAGGAGTCTTTTAACACACCATTCCAGTGCCATTTCCTTCCAAGATTATACCTCTTATTGTACATTTATCCTCTTAAGATATTCAGGAGTCTATAGCAGATAGCAAAGGATGTCTCTTGAGTGGAGGAGAAATCTGTAGTTTGTGTGAGATTTCTGCCGTGTGCTCATGTTGCGGACAGGCAGCCTAAAACTAACATGATTCTTTGTCCTGTTCTGCCTGTAGTCAAGAACTGCGACTTGAAGCCATTGTGTGCAGGTATTTTATCCCATGTGTAAGATGACTCTGCATCACCAAGTTATCATATATATACATACATATTAATATATATAATCCGTAGGCCCAAAAACAAGCCTGTAGCACTGAGGGTTGAATTACCTAAGCAACAGATTTATATTTATATTATTATTAATTTTTTTTTGTAAATAATTTGTATGTCAACAAAAATAATCATTCTATTTTGGGCACACTCCCTTTTGTTATTTATATATTTATTTATTGTTATCATCATTGTTATTATTATTTTGGTTTGAACCAAATGGTTTCTAGTTCCTGCATGTACTCTGTAGAAGGACAGGCTGCAATAAGGAAAAGATCCATTAGGACTCCATAAAAAGACTAACAAGTCACTCACATTTTGAGTCACGTGTGTTACCATATTTTCCTTCTGTGAGACGGAAGAGGAGAAGCGAGAATATTACAATATCATGAAAAGACGTTTATGGGAAAATATGATTATAGAGATATTTATTTAATCGATGGCGGGAAGAGACACTCGGCGGGTTTCATTTTTCTTTTCGTCTTTCCTTCGCGATTTCTCAACGAAAGGTGAATAAGACAGAACGAGGAAGAAAGAGAAAGGGAATAATAGATAAAAGGAAGGGAATTGAAATGAAATTTGTGACAGAAATCTCCAGGGCTTTTTTTACTCTCTCTTAAAAAGAAAAGGTTTAAAAAGAATTTCTTATTTATTTATTTATCTATTTATCTTCTGAACAACGATTTTAGGGAATTAAAAAGCGCTAAGAAGTATATATGGTATTGCTGAATATAATCCATATCACTTTGTCAAGAACAAGAAAGGGACAAGAAAGGAGAGAGAGAGAGAGAGAGAGAGAAGAGAGAAGAGAGAGAAGAGAAGAGAGAGAGAGAGAGAGAAGAAGAGCAGAAGAAAAGAGTTATTATTGTCGTTATTACTGTTATTATTATTATTATTATTATCATCACCCTCGTTATTATCACTCACACACACACACACACAAAACACACACACACACACACACAACACACACACACACACACACACACCACACACACACACAAACACACACAAACACACACACAACACACCACCACACACATACACACTCTGAGTAATTTACACATAAATGACAATTAATAATAAGAAGATGATTATTACAATAATAATAATAATGATATTTAAGATGATAATACTAATATTAATGATTATAATAATGACAATAACACTGATAATAATGCGAGTAGATTGCCTTTAGAAAAATGAAAAATCATCATAATGAGATTTAGAAGAGGCGAGAGGCGGCCTACTTGGACAGCCATGCAAATAATTCAGTTATATTTTGATTGAATATTGATTGATTAAGAATTATATGATCGACTAGCAAGCATGCATATAGTTCTATAGTTACGAATGATCAGTTTTAAAATCGATAGTGGGAGAGGCTGAATTTTTAGTGTTTTCCGTTCGTATATGGGGGAAAAAAATCATTGAAATATGAAAAAAATGTATGGAAAGAAAATTTATTATGCAATTTACAAGTTCAAAAGTAAGTGAATGCGTGTTAGTTTTTTATTAAAATGAAAATAAAAAAGATAGAGTGGTCATGCTCATAGGTAGGCGATTGTCTATGGAATGGAACGGAAAGAAAAAAAAAAAATAAGAAAGAAAAAAATATAGAGAGAAAGAGAGAGGGGGGAAGTGCGAGAGAGAGAAGTGAGTAGAGAGAGAATAGAGAGGGGAGGGGGGAGAGAGGGGAGGCAGAGTGAGAGAGAGAAAAGAGAGAAATAGAGAGAGGGGGGAGAGATAGAAAGAGAGAGGGGAGGAGAAACAGAGGAGAGGAGCGGGGGGGAGAGACAGAGAGAGAGAAAGAGAGAGGGGGGGAGGAGAGATAGAGAGAGAGAGAGAAAACTGTCCATTTTAGATAATGTCGAGGTCTTAATTATCTGAAAAGAAATCAAATTTGAAGGAGAGATCATGTTGAGACAAAGATTCCTTAAGATTGACAAGCCAATATTATTAAAAAAAAAAAAAAAAAAAAAGGAAATGAAGCCATATTAAGAATCCAGAGAGCAGGCATAAAAAAAATCGTTTCTATCAAAAACGAAAAAGAGGAAACTTGATATTAATTTGAAGAAGAAAAACGGAAAAAAAACAGTAATACCAATTTTCTATTTTTTAAAAAAGCGAGAGAAAGAGACAGTCCTTTTGAAACCCTGTTGAGAAAGCTTGGAAATAGACAAAGAAAAAAAAATCTATGAAAATATATAGTAACATTATTAACGTATAAAAACGAGTAAGGGAAATTTGAGATCGATTTTGAAACATTAATGAGGAGGCGAGGAAATTACATAGCCATTACTATTAATACCAATTTTCAAAAAAAAAAAAAAAATGAAGACCCATTTTGAAACATTATTGAAAGTGGAAAGCGAGGAAGTGACGAAACATTAGCTCTAATACTGATTTTTATATTTAAAAAAAGAGAGAAAAAAAAGAGTTAAGGCCCCTTTTGGAACATAGTTGAAGAAGCGCTGAAGTGATATATAAATTAA